CCTGTTGCTGGCGGCTGTGAAGTACTGCAACTACCAGATGGACATGCTCTGGGCCTATTCCGTGCAGCATGGTCTGGAGAAGCGAATGACACGGCTGCGCCTCATCCTGCAAGTGGCATTCTGCCACCCGCCTGGCCCCCAGTCCGATTCCCAAGCCAAGCCGGTGCGCTTCCACTTTGCGGAGGCCAACAGTGCATCGCCGACGGGCGACGGAGCCGTGGCCCACATGCTGGCCGCCCTTCTGGGTGCCTTGGAGTCACACTACGGCTGGCTGGCCACCCGCCTGTACCGCGCGTTCCGTCCCAAGTGCCTCAAGGCGGACGTGGGCTGGCGCTGGCGGCGCATGTGCTGCATTCCCATTGTCGTAATCTTCGAACTGGCGCTGGTCACCCTGGTAACTGGCATCTCCCTAATCGTGGCCTACTTCACGTACGCCAATGCCAAGGAGCGGGAGCAGATCCAGGTGGTGCTCTATGTGGTGGCCGCCATCCTGGGCACCCTCATCTGCACGCACCTGCATGTTCTGGCCAAGGTATGCGTCGCCCTGTTCACCTCCCACATCCGGCAGCTGAAGCGAGCGGTGCGCACCAGCGAAACGGCACCCCTGACGATGCTCGGCGCCGAGGTTGCGGTGATGACGGACATGGTCAAGTGCCTGGACTCGTTCACCAATCAGCAGAGCCGGCTGGTGGGCGTGATCGATGCCCTCGACTCGTGCGACACTGAACGCATCCTCACCCTGCTGAACGCCGTCCAGACGCTGCTCTCCACGCCGAACCGTCCGTTTGTGCTGCTCATCTCGGTGGATCCCCATGTGATTGCCAAGGCGGCGGAGGCCAACAGTCGACGTCTGTTCACCGAGGGTGGCATCGGGGGCCACGACTTCCTGCGGAACCTGGTCCATCTGCCCGTCTACCTGCAAAACTCCGGGCTGCGCAAGGTGCAGCGAGCCCAGATGACCGCCCTGCTGTTCAAACGGAGTGGCGGCGGCGGTGAGTACCAGAACGACGATGGACCCACCCTGGGGCACTCTGTATCCGCGCGACGTCTGTCCAATGCCTCGGAGATCGTCTCGAGCCAGGAAAAACTGCGTGGGCCGGCACGACCAGGCGGGGGCAAGAAGCTGCGCCTCTCCGAGTCGGTGGCCAGCTCGACGGGCTCCAATCTGCATCGCCTGGGTCAAAATCCCCAGGGTGTGCTCGACCTCTCGCGGATAGTGCTCACCGATGACTACTTCAGCGACGTGAATCCGCGCAGCATCCGGCGTCTGATGAACGTCATCTACATCACGGTGCGGCTACTGAAGGCCTTCCAGATTGACTTTAGCTGGTACCGTCTCAGCTCCTGGATCAATCTGACGGAACAGTGGCCCCTGAGGGCCAGCATGATAGTGCTCCATCACGACCAGTTCATGGACACCAGTGCGGATGAGAATGTCTCCCTGCAGAGCGTATACGAGAAGTGAGATATGGTTCGTACTGTGAATCTTTCGCTTACTTACATCTCTCTCATCCATAGACTGCGGCCCAAGCTTGCGTATTTACGAGAGGCTGCACCGCTTCTGGAGCTGGATCGGGATGAGCGGAAGCTGGATGCCTTCCTGCAGCTCCACAAATCGGACTTGCTTGTGGCAGACTTGCGCATCTTTCTGCCCTTCACCATCAATTTGGATCCGTATTTAAGGAAGGTTCTGAAGGGTAAGTGGCGGGCAACGAAAGCTTGTCCTGAATCCATACAAACTGAAGTAAATCTCTCTTACAGAGGATCAGCAGACGATTGAGGATGAGAGCTCGCTTGTAATCCAAACCAGACCGAGCGTATACAACCAAATGCGTCAGCAGCCAGCGCCCACCACATATGTGCCTTCGCCACAGCCACAGCCCTATCCGCCCTACCAAGTGTTCCAGAACGATTTTGTGCCCAACGAGATGCGATCGAGGAACCTCAGCTCAAGTACGGAGCCCGTATCGCCGCTGATTGCCTCGCCCAGCGATTCCTTTGGCGTGAGTGTTTGAGGGGATGATCTTCAAATGGAAATGAGACCCTAATAACCACCTTTAAATTGTATACAGGAGGACATATTGCTGACACGTCTCACGGATCTGACAGTGGAGGGTGTCATCAGCCTGCTAGAGCGCATTGACGACATGAAGCCGGCCATGCCGAAGCTGGCGCCGGTGCTCCGTGATAATGCCATCAATGGACGCGTACTAAAGCACTGCGATATGCCAGATCTCAAATCGGTAGACAGAGCCCCTTCAAACTGTAATCCTTCCCCAGTTTCATGGCTAATTTCTTGCAGGTGCTGGGCCTGAGCTTTGGCCACTGGGAGCTGTTTCGCCTGCTGATCACAACGCTGAGGGAATGCGAGCGACAGCCGAGGAAGCAGAATCGCGCACTGCCGCAGGTCGCCGCTGTGGAGGCGCCGCCAGTTACTGTGCCCATGATCAAGGACGTGACGGATGCCCTGGTGCCGCCGCGCGAGTCCTTGTCGCGCAAGAACTCGGTCAGTCACATGGAGAAGCAGGTAAGAGGAGGGCCAACGGCAGAGCTGCAGAAGTGCAGGACATCTGTGATTGACCATGGATGTGCCGTGATTCGCTCTAACTCATGTGCTTTGATCTATTCTTATTCCGACCATTCTCTAACTAACCAAAAACGAAATGCAGTCGAAAGTGCACGACTACGAGTATCTCCAGGTAATGCAGACACCACGACACCACAGACTGATTCCAAATTCAATCAAAGCTTGCCTCCATGACACTCTCCAAATGCAACTAAAGCGGCTGCTATGTATCCTCCACTAAAGCCTCTCTCTGCTTGTCCACAGGTCACACTGGAGGAGCAAATGATTTGCGGCACTTTGCAAACGCTCAACGAGGAGGCGTACGAGGACGTGGCCAGCAGTGAGCGACCCAGTCCCACAGGTGAGATGTTAGCTACAGCCTCACAACTGCAATTGGCACCCATACGCGAGTCCTCCGAGTTCGGCTCGCCCTCCGACGAGCTGAAGCTGACTAGCATCCTGCAGCACCATGCCAAGACTCAGAACAACAACAACAAGCACGCGGTGCCGGGCTCGTACTTGCATGCCGATTACAATCGCAGCGCCAGCTCCCATTCCCTACAGAGTCTGGGCGCTGGTGGTGGCAATGGGGGCAACGGGAACGGTAACGACTATTGCGGTAGCACCTTCGATCTTATGCATGTAGAATCTGTCGGTGGCGGTATCTATGAGATGCATCGTGCTGCGGCACGACAAATCTCGATTAGCAGCGAGCGACTAACCGAACCCAGCTCTCTGCCCCTGCCCCTGGTGGTGGTCATACCCAATGGCTCCTCGGGGGAGCAGCTCTACGACGACACAAAGCTGTGAGATGTCCAGTCTTTCCCGTCGTCTGAAACTGAAACTATGTAAAGTGCATGTGAAGTATTACGGGAACTGGGATTGCGGGCTTTCTAACTTAACCTATAGTCTGACAATGGGCAAAACCATTTTAAAATTGGACCAATTGTCAATGAATCCTGTAAGAGACCAAAGCAGACCAAACCAAAAACCAAACATATATCATCTGGAACATTCTTTTATGCCTTGTTTGATTTACTTTTACTTTGGCTTGGCTTCGATCTGGACAGTATTATCGTATTATCTATCTATATCTATCTAAAGTACTAAAATTTGAGTTGTGCGACGATTACTAATTCATTCCAATTGTTATATTCGAAAGACGATTAGTTTAGTTTGATTAATTATTGGCCACAAGACATTTAAAATTGTGAACAACCAACCCTCCACCCACACACCACACACCACACATGGCAAGAACTCCAGTCTAACATAAAACATGAACATCTAACAACTAACCCTAACTAAGCCTACCCCCCACGGAGACACCCCTTCCCCACCCAAGAAGAAAGTATCAATCAAATAAATGATAAACTTATGAACAACTCTCTACCACTTGCATTTTATTCAGCTTTACCCATTCTCTCCGTAACTGTGTGTTTGTTTATTTATCGCCCTTTTAACCTCTTTGTTAAGTTTGATGTTCGATGTTAAAAATAAGAACTATTTGTTGGTGTGCTGGTGAACCGATTGGGTGGCTCTGCAGCTGCCACAGCGTGTGGCGGGGTTCCCTAATACCCTGATAAACCATCCGTACCTTACCCTATCCATATGATCTTTTAGAGCATGACACACCCACTGGTTGTGGGCCAGCAATGACGACTGCATTGCTTACCTCAGCCTCGGCCATGTACACGCATCAGCAGCAGCAGCAGGCGCAGCCTTCGGGTCGCGATTCTATACTGAAGCAGCAGGGGAGTGTCAAGGGCGACAAGCGGGTATCGATTCAACAAACATCGAGCAGTAATCATAACAACAACAACAACAATAATGCCAAGTCAGCAACGAATGTTGAATATATCTCCGAAGGAGCAGGAAGCAAAGTGCGACTAACCGCAAAGCCGCCAGCAGGTAAAGATTGATTGATCGAGTAAATATAAGTTTTTCCCAAAATAATCTACTTAATGTTGTATTTAAGGACCCCGGCCAGCCTCGCTGATCATCACCAGGTCCGATTCCAACTCACAGTTCCAGCTGCTACGCTCCTCCTCAGTGGACTATGACGACGTGGAGGCCCAAGAGCACCGGACTACGATCCGGACGACACTGCTGGAGCAACAGGAGGAGGATGAAGCGGCACCGTTCGTGTTTACAGCGCGCAAATGATACAATCTGATAACCAGATGGCAGCCAAGCTTATTTACACAATTTAGATATAGGGCCAGTCTTAAATAAGCTAACTAACTAGCTAATTACTGAAAGAGTTTGCAGCTGGAACTCGAGAGTTGTGGTTCCCCAAAATAGAATGTACTCTAGCAAAAGACAATTGTTTGCATTAGTTCTTGTTATATTTGTGTGTTTATGTGTATTTATTAATTGTAAACTGATGGAAGAGTAGGATAAATGTGTAATGAGAATCTGCATATGGAATACATAAAGTGCTACAGTGTTATATATTTTTTGGTTTCTATATGTACGAACTACGAATTATACAAACAATGAAAAGAGAATCAATATACATAGTGTTTTTTCATTTTTGTGATCGAAACTCGCGCCTGTTAACCAGAGCAGGTAGAAGGGCTTGGTAGAGTCTGAAGGCATGCGCGGGGCTTGGCAGTGTTCGGCAGAGCTCTTGCAGAGAAAACATCACATTCGTTTGGGGCGTCGTCAAAAAGGTCATGTCGAAGTCCGGTTCCTGCCAGAAGGCACCTCTCGGCTGTCCCTCCAGTTTTGCCTGAGTGCCGACGCTGTGCGTGTGGGGCCTGAAGTCCGTTTGGGTCGATGCATTCATGTAAAGGGCCGCAGAATCGAATTCCTCCGGTTCGGAAAATGGTGAATTGAAAAGCTGTTCCTGTTTTAGTTTCAGTATGCGCTGGTTTGGCTGTGCCTTGAGCTGAGCCTGTTTTAGATGATCCACATCGTAGGCCAGTATCCGGAGCAGATCCCTGGTGCCATCGGGTAACGCTTCCAGCCCCCATTTAGCCAAATCAATCCTGGTTCCCGGCGCCGAATTGAACTCATAAACCACATTGTAGTTGTTGCATATCGGCGAGGGATTCTCGAAGGCTTCTTTACTCATGAAGGACTCGCTCTTAGGCACTTGGTGTATAGTGTCCACCATAAGGAACTCCTCCTCCTGATCCTCCAATTTTTTCCGCTCGAACAGTTCGAGCACTTGCTTGGCCCGACTCTCGGCTAAGTTGCCCTTTTCTCGTTTTGTCAGCTTTTGTGGTGATGGCTCTGGATTGGCCGCCTCCGCAACGGCCTCATTCTGCTCCTGCTGGCACAACTTCTCGAGATTTACGACTTTGATGTGCCTCTCGTCGTCTCGAACATAAATCCACTCAAACTCCGAATCTGAATCCACCGCGGGCGTCGACTCCTGTTTTATTGTGGCGACGCGCGGCAGGCCATTTAATGTTACTCTCACCCTGGGATCACGCTTGCCTTCGACTTCAGTTTGATTATCTTCGCGCAGACTTTTAATATCTATTTGCTTATGCTCCTGATGGCGTCTTTTTTCGCTTTGATAATCCTCGCGTAGTCGTTTACTTTCCCTTTCATTATCCTCATAGTGGCGTCCATTGTCTCGTGGGTTAGCGTCATGATCGCCTCTTTTGAGCCTGTGATTATCCTCGCGTGGACGCTTGTCCCTTGGTTTATCCTCGTGTCGATGTCTGTTATACGTATGACTGTCGTCGTGGTGGCGTCTATCGTCTCTTGGATTGTGTTCGTGATGGCGTCTATCGTCCATTGGATTGTGTTCGTGGTGGCGTCTCCTGTCCCGTTGATGCTCTTCGCTTGTGCGTTTATTGTCCCGTGAGGTGCGCTTGTTTTCCTTTTGATTATCATCGACCGGACTGTTACTTTGAGTCCGTTTTTCAGCAACACTTTCCTCAGATTTACCCCTCCTGTGCTTTCGCTTCTTCTTCTTACGCTTATCTAACTGATCCAACTCTTCCAACGCCTTCTGAGTCGCTTCGCGGCACGCTTCAAGTTCTTCCAGGTTGTCCGTTGAGTCTGGCGTAGCTGGTTGGGGCGGTTCCAAGTCCATGTTGTTAATTTCCTCCCTGTTGCTGAAACCACTTGGAATGTCCGACAAGCCATATTCGTCTAACTCCAATTTATGAATTATACCGTTTTCGCGGAGACCATCGAATAGTTCGCCGATTATTGCTGCAACAGTAGCAGCATCGCTTTCAGCAGCTGCCAGTTCTGCCTTGACAACTGGAACCTCAGGCTCAGCCATGACAACGGGAGCCTCAGGCTGTGCCTTGACAAGAGGTTCCTCCGGCTCTTCGGTGGCATTAGTTGGACTATTTGGTTTTGTCAGTTCACTTCGCGGAGTACGAGGAAAAGATCGGATCTCGACATCGTCGTTGTCGCTTTCCCATCCATGGCCACTGCAACCGGTCGAGAAATCAGTGGTGTTCGGAGAATGAGGGATTCCAACTGTGCGTATCGGCGTCTCGTCATTCTCTTCGAGTCGCCGTAGCGGCGTGGTCTCGTTCTCGCCGAGTTTGGCATTATCTTCTGCTTTTATTTCAACTTTTACCTCAGTTTCGTTCATATTTCTACAAAATTTTGAATCACATCACAGAAAAGACGGTCAGACTTCTTTCCAATCCTCAGAAATATACCAAAATATACCGTCTCATTTTAAAAGTCGTAAATATACCGATGAAAAAACGAACTTAGCCCTCTTAAGCCCCCTCTTTTTAAAACAGTTCAACGACTTGAGGTAAATGTCGGAAAATATTACTGATATGATTCCTCTGAGCTACAAAATAACCCCCCGATATTTTTCAGCTGAACTGCGCTAAAAAAATTCAATTTTCAATATTTTCGGTGGAATATTAAAATACCCCCTTGGTCTACAATAGGTTAATGGTTCTCCGTCAAGGATTGGAGAATATTATTAGCTAGATAGAACCTTCAGCCCTGTCCACATAATTTTATTCGATTAATGAATCATTACAAGATTGGCTAATTTTAAGTTATTATCTTTATTGCGTTCCTTATAAAATAACAATTCCTAACAATTAATTTTTGTATGTTTAGGTTTTGAAAATTGTTTGACAGTGTTTTTTCATATAAGGCCCATGGAAGCAGTGTGAAAAACTGTGAAAACTTTGATGGCAAACGGATCAGGAATTCTATACATACCGCGTTTAAAAAAAAAAAATGGAAAAATATATGAAAAGTATACGAATATACAAGGAGTCTGAGCTAGACAAGGTGGCTAACAAATATAGGCATACATAAACGAATTTTAAAAAATCTGGCGTAATTCGAGTAAAATGTATTCTGACAATGCTATCACTTAATGCTAACTATTGGCTAAGTTGTTTTGTTGTCCAAAAAAGTATAAACACAGAGTGTTTTGACAAGAAAATGCGCTCCCGCACACACATTCATGCGCGTACTGTAAACCAGTGCTGCCATTTTAGCTTATTTTAATTTGTATCATTTTTATCGAGAAATCGGACAAAACTCATATTTGTTGTTCGTATTTCGGTATATCATGCAATTTTGTGTATGGTAATTTTTCGTTGATAAGTTTCGGGCACACTACCTGTTTGCACATAAACAATACAATGCCGAATGTGTGTTATAAGCAAAATTTCCGCGATTTGCGGTTAAATGTTGACGAATTTAAGGAGTGCCAACTGACCCCACAGAAGCGTACGGCTGCCTTTGTAAGGCAAAAATTGGAGCCAAGTTGCGCGAGTTACCGCAGCATGCGTTGACTAAAAAACACATTGCGTCCAATGCAAGCATGGCACAAAGTAGCAAAATACCTTTTATAAGGAAGTCATCAAAAACAGAGGAGCAGGAGGTATGATAGCAGAATGATACATATTCATCTGGACTGCGACGTCATGGCAAATGTTGCCATAACTACAAACTTCCTACCAAATACATTTCTTTAATAACATCATCCGTCAAATATTCTGAATTTTATAGTGGAGTGGATGAAATCATTTCATTTCTTTGGTTAAAAATGTTCAATTATATCTTATTTTTATGTGTTTTTATGGTTAGCTTATTTTAAAGTTTTTTTTTTTTTAATTTTTAGCTTATTTTAGCTTTTTTTTTCGTGAATCTAGCTTATGGTGGCTCTCAAAATCTGGCAGCACTGCTGTAAACATTGACGACCAGCTGTTTTTTGTTTATCTCGCTATCTCGTTCTATCTTTCTCTTCTCCCAAAGGTCACCTTGAGCCTAATAAAATCGAATCAGAGCTGACGTTTTGTTGGTAATGTAAAAGTTCTGTCTGTCGTTTTTCATTACAACGCACGCACAAAAGTAACAAAGTTTTCAAAATTAAAATTTGTATCTAAATCGAATTCAAGCGGAATATACATAGTAAAATAAATATACATTTATATAGATAAACAAATTTCCCAAGTGTGAATGCTTCTAATAGTGTCAAGAGCAATCTCGTCAGTTGAACAATTCAGCAGAGAGAGTGCTGTTAAACTCGTACTTTGTTTAATCTCTTCGATATAGTGATATTAAAGATCCAAGAAATATAATGATGCCATCTACCGGCGAAAATTGTGCACTTGAATTCCTTGACCCACATCCCCATGCAAACATGCATACGCACATATGTACGTATACACTCGTGCAAATGTGTGTGTATATGCATGTTTGAGTTAAAAATAATATTATTCCCTGACCCCCTAATAAAATTTCAATGTTGATAAGGCTGCGATTCGCCAATACCTTTAATTGAGTTCTAGTAGAACCGAACACGTAGGCGCCACATGTCAATAATGCAATGATCCAATCATCCCACACCCATGGGCGTAGGCTTTGCATTTAGATTCCCTCCAGTACAGCTCCATTGAATGGCCCCTGCCGCAGACGCCCCACTAGATCATGATTATAAAATGTTTTCATCATGCTTGATTAGAGATTACACATCGGTGGTGTTGCTAACATTCCTTGACGCTTCAGTAGCGCTGACGGCGGCCGGCGTCAAACACGAGTAAAAAACATTGCCAAAAAATTCAATTTGCAGCAGCATCTGCGGGTTCTTCGTTGTGATAATGGTGTTAGAAGGGTTCTGCAGGAGCGTCCTGCGCTATGTGTACGCACTGCTCCAGTTCTTGATGCGCTATCATGCCTTTCGCTGGCTCGTCGATTTAGTGGATTTGCAAGCGGTTGATAAGGTACATCGCGAGAATGCTCTGTTACAACAAAGAGGAGAAGAAGAACAACCCGGGGAACCAAAAGAAGAAGAGAAAGTACAGCGACAGAAGCAGCAGCAGCAGCAGCAGCAACAGCGGCAGAATGAAGCAACAGTTGTCGCCGGCAAAACAACGAAAACAAAACCAGATTCAGTCGCGATTAGTGCAATGGGAAATGCAGGCAGTGCTTCTATTCGTGAGCCCGTATCAAATCGAACCACCCGCCACAGTGAGGTATTATCGCTAATTCGGATTGTAATTGGCTGCTGCACTCACTCACTACCCCGTGTGCATCCCATAACTATGTGTGTCCTATCTAATCTGGGTGCTCTGCTGGAAACGAGCATAGACCCAGTCTGAGGTCCAGTTTCAGTCGCCAATAAAAGGCACTACCTGCTCCCATCGATGCTGCAGTCTGTGCCGTGTGCTCCTTGTGTGTTAGTTACAGTTACTAAAAGTGTGCCCCGATTAATTAAACAGATTCTATTGCAAAATTCTACTTGCACTGTGGTGGTGTTTTAACAATTTGCCTTTGTGTGTGCGTCACCGATTACAATTTACATACATATGTACATACATAGTCATATACAGTAGCTACATAAAGGTGATAAGCCTACTAGATTATATAATGATTCCTTCCTGATTCCCGTAGATGAGTACCATGGGCGAAGATACGGAATCGCACAGCATACCCATAAGTGAAGGACAGAACGCTGAGCATGTGCTGTACCGCCTGAAGCGGGGCACCCGGCTGGACGTGCACCCGGACGCCTCGTTGCTGGGAAAGAAGATCGTCCTGTACACCAACTATCCCGCCGAGGGCCAGAAGTTCGTGCGCACCGACTACCGTGTGCTCGGATGGCAGCTGAAGAATGGCAAACAGATCACGACTGTCATGCATCCGGAGGCTCATGTGGTGGACACGGATATCCACAGTCAGCTGCAGCTGAAACTGTCCGGAACGTATCACTTCTACTTCCGCTATGTTGAGCGGTAAGCCTATTAGTGGATAGTCCACTATCCATCAGCCATTATCCATCCGAAATTAATTTTAAATTCACTTTGTTAACAGAGCAGACACCGGAAGTGCTGGAGCCGATGGGGCTCTCTATGTCCAGGTGGAGCCCACCCTGCATGTGGGGCCGCCGGGGGCACAAAAGACAATACCTCTGAATTCGGTGCGCTGCCAGACGGTGCTAACCAAGCTACTGGGACCGCTCAGCAGCTGGGAGCCAAAGTTGCGCGTGGCCAAGGAGGCCGGCTACAATGTGATTCACTTCACACCCATCCAGGAGCTGGGCGGCTCGCACTCCGCCTACTCGCTGCGGGATCAGCTGAAAGTCAACCCAAGCTTCGCAAGCAAGAAGGGCGACAAGGTTACCTTCCAGGACGTGGAGAAGATCATCAAGAAGTGTCGCCAGGAGTGGGGCGTAAGGAAATGCAATACCATCAAATGTGCTTCACCTCCATCTCAGTCTGGGCTCTTGTCCGTTTCAGGTGGCCTCCATCTGCGACATTGTGCTGAATCACACGGCCAACGAGTCGGAGTGGCTGCTCCAGCATCCGGATGCCACCTACTCGTGCGCCTCGTGTCCGTACCTGCGGCCAGCCTTCCTGCTGGACGCCGCCCTGGCCCAGTGCGGAGCCGACATCGCTGCTGGCAGCCTGGAGCATGTGGGCGTGCCTCTGGTTATCGATCAGGAGTGCCATTTGGAAGCTTTAAAGTACCAGTTGCATAACGCCTACCTATCCAAGGTCAATATACACGAGCTGTATCAGTGCGACGTGATGCAGTATGTGAACAACTTCATGAACCAGGTGCGTACTCGCGAGCCGCCCAAGAACGTGGCCAACGAGTCGCGTTTCCAGGAGATCCAGCTGATACAGGACCCGGCATATCGACGCTTGGGTAGCACCATCAATTTCGAGCTGGCGCTGGAGATCTTTAATGCTTTCCATGGCGATTGTTTCGATGAGGAGTCACGCTTCCGCAAGTGCGCCGAGACCCTGCGCCACCACTTGGATGGCCTCAACGATCGCGTGCGGGCCGAGATCCAAGGCTATCTGAACTACGCCGTCGACAATTGCCTGGCCGGCATCCGATACGAGCGAGTTCAGGGCGACGGTCCCAGAGTGCGCGAAATATCAGAAAAGCACTCTGTCTTTATGACCTACTTCACCCACACGGGCACCCTGGGCAAGACGCTGCCCGAGATCGAGGCCGATATGTACACCAAGCCGGGCGAATTCTTTATGGCCCACAACGGCTGGGTCATGGGCTCTAGCGATCCATTGCTTGACTTTGCCGAGGAGCAGCCGGGACGCGCCAATGTCTACCTCAAGCGAGAGCTCATTGCCTGGGGCGACAGCGTGAAGCTCCGTTTTGGCAAGCGGCCAGAGGATAGCCCCTACCTGTGGAAGCACATGACCGAGTACGTGGAGACGACGGCCCGCATATTCGACGGAGTCCGGCTGGACAACTGCCACTCGACGCCGCTTCACGTGGCCGAGTACCTGCTGGACGCGGCGCGGAAGATCAACCCCGAACTGTATGTGGTGGCCGAGCTGTTCACCAACTCCGATGGCACCGACAATGTGTTCGTCAATCGCCTGGGCATCACATCCCTAATTCGCGAAGCCCTTTCGGCCTGGGACTCGCACGAGCAGGGCCGTCTGGTCTATCGGTATGGCGGTGCGCCAGTCGGTGGCTTCTATCCGAATCCCACGCGTCATGAGGCGTCCAGCGTTGCACACGCCCTGTTCATGGACCTCACCCACGACAATCCATCGGCCGTGGAAAAACGGTCCGTCTACGATCTGCTGCCCTCGTCTGCTCTGGTCTCCATGGCCTGCTGTGCCACCGGCAGCAATCGTGGCTACGACGAACTGGTTCCACATCATGTGAGCATCATAATAGGAAGGAGTATCAAGCACTGATATACTAATTATAGAATTTAATCATTTCTTCTGCAGATCCATGTCGTGGACGAACAGCGTTTATACCAGGAATGGGGCAAGGGCGTGGACTCCAAGTCCGGCATTATGGGAGCTAAGCGAGCGCTGAATCTGCTGCACGGACAGCTGGCCGAAGAGGGATTTACTCAGGTGTATGTGGACCAAATGGACCCCAATGTGGTGGCTGTCACCCGGCATTCCCCGATCACCCATCAGTCGGTCATTCTGGTGGCTCACACGGCCTTCGGGTATCCGAATCCGAATGCCGGACCTACTGGCATCGGACCGTTGCGCTTTGACGGCGTTTTGGACGAGATCATCCTGGAGGCCAGCCTGACCATGAAGAGCGACAAGCCCTTCGATCGTCCCGCTCCCTTTAAGAAGGATCCCAATGTGTTGAACGGCTTCACCCAGTTCGAACTGAGCCTGCAGGAGCACATCCCGCTCAGCAAGTCGACCGTCTTTCAGACCCATGCCAATGTCGATGGCAACAACACGGTGCTGAACTTTGTTAACCTTCGGCCTGGCACAGTGGTAGCCATTCGAGTGTCCATGCATCCCGGACCCCGCATCAGCTTCGACAGGCTGCAGAAGCTGACAAATGCCTTGCGCCTGGGATCGGGGGCTGAGTGGTCAGAGCTGCAGGGGATCGTATCCAAACTGGATTTGGTGGCGCTGAGTGCCGCCCTCTTTCAATGTGACGACGAGGAACGTGCCCAAGGCACAGGTGGCTCCGCCTACGATATACCCAACTTTGGGCGCATTGTCTACTGTGGCCTCCAGGGCTTTGTTTCCCTGCTGACGGAGATATCGCCACACAATGATCTGGGCCACCCGCTGTGCACTAATTTACGCGACGGCAACTGGATGATGGGTAACTATAGACTATAGAGACACGCAAACGAATAGGATTCGTTCGATTAATATTTATTTCCCTTTAGATTACATGGCCGATCGCCTGACCAACTTCGAGGATTTAAAGCCGCTCTCCGTCTGGCTGAAGGCCGCCTTCGAGCCTCTGAAGAATATACCACGCTACCTCATTCCCTGCTATTTCGATGCCATTGTCAGCGGGGTCTACAACGTGCTCCTCAATCAGGTCAACGAACTGATGCCAGAGTATGTCTAACCCGACTATCGATTTGTGTCTCTTGTCAATATTACTTTATTATATCAACAGTTTCATTAAGAACGGCCACAGTTTCACTCAGTCCCTGGCCCTCTCCACGTTGCAGTTCCTTTCCGTCTGCAAGTCCGCCAATCTGCCAGGCTTCAGTCATGCCATCAATCCACCAAAGCCACCGAAACAATGTGTTACACTCTCTGCTGGACTGCCGCATTTCTCCACTGGTAGGACTTTAGGCCACCTACTCCTGTGTGCCCAGGGATCTCACATCCTCTCGCTTTATCTCCACAGGTTACATGCGCTGCTGGGGCCGTGATACCTTCATCGCCCTGCGTGGATCGATGTTCCTGACTGGGCGTTTCAACGAAGCTCGATACATCATTATTGGATTCGGCCAGACCCTGAGACATGGTCTCATACCCAATCTCTTGGACAGCGGGAGCAAGCCGCGCTACAACTGCCGCGATGCCGTCTGGTGGTGGATGTACTCAATCAGGCAGTACGTGGAGGAGGCTCCCAAGGGAAGCGAGATACTGAAGGACAAGGTGTCGCGCCTCTTTCCCTACGACGATGCCGATGCACATGCACCAGGGGCCTTCGATCAGCTGCTCATCGATGTGATGCAGGAGGCGCTGCAGGTGCATTTCCAGGGACTGCAATATCGCGAACGCAACGCGGGCCGTGAGATAGATGAGCATATGGTGGACCAGGGATTCAACAATCACATTGGAGTGCATCCGGAAACTGGCTTTGTGTTTGGCGGAAACAACTTTAATGCTGGCACGTGGATGGACAAGATGGGCTCGTCGCAGAAGGCCGGCAACAAGGGGCGGCCGAGCACCCCACGCGATGGATCCGCTGTGGAGTTGATTGGCCTCCAATATTCTGTATTGCGCTTCATGCAGGGCCTGGCCGAAAAGGAGGCCATCCCGTACACGGGTGTGGATCGCAAGGGGCCGTCAGGTGAGTTGACAAAGTGGAGCTACAAGGAGTGGGCAGATCGCATCAAGGACAACTTCGATCGCCATTTCTTTGTCCCGGAGTCAGAGACATGTTCCTTGGCAAACAAGAGGTTCATCTACAAGGACAGCTACGGCGCAACCCAGAGCTGGACAGACTATCAGCTCCGTTGTAACTTCCCCATCACACTGACCGTCGCTTCGGAGCTTTGCAATCCGCAGAACGCCTGGCGTGCTCTGGAGCTGGCCAAGCAGTACCTGCTTGGACCACTGGGCATGAAGACACTGGATCCCGAGGACTGGAACTACAGGGCTAACTATGATAACTCCAACGACTCGACGGATTGCACCGTTGCCCATGGATCCAACTACCACCAGGGACCCGAGTGGGTATGGCCCATTGGCTTCTACCTGCGGGCTCGTCTCATCTTCGCCAAGAAGTGCGGCCATCTAGATGAAACCATTGCTGAGACCTGGGCCATTCTGCGGGCTCATCTCCGTGAGATGCAGACCTCCCACTGGCGTGGCCTGCCCGAGCTGACCAACGACAATGGCTCCTACTGCGGCGACTCCTGCCGCACCCAGGCCTGGAGCGTGGCCGCCATTCTCGAGGTTCTCTACGATCTGCACGCCCTAGGAGCGGACGTAGCTTAGAGCTCTCTAAACGTCAAACCACTCTACCTGCAAGCACATATGCATACTCATACTCAAGCTGTTAGTTGCTACCAAAACTGTTATTAGTGTTACATTTGATAATTATACGCGAGAATTCAGAATGTCGCTAGATTCGTTACCAGATCCCGAGTGTGGTGGATCGTCCTTTGCTATATCTCCATTCTATTAAAGTTTAAACTGTTTTTAATCTATGACTTGGAGTTCACTTGCTTGACGTGTTAGGATTAGGAGAAGTAGCTGTCCCGGCACACTCGCATGCAGGAAACCTGGGGCGGATCGATGAGGCCGCTGTTGTTCCGCGGAAGGTCGCGATTATCATATAACTGCCAGATAATCCCTGACTTCCTTAGCCTTGGAGACGGCTCTGCTATATCTGGCATCATGGGCTTCACAGGAGATTTTGCCATCATAAGCTTCGCAGGAGGCTCTGGTAGTTGTTTTTTTATATCTAGAATTATGGGATTGGCAGGAGGTTCTGGCATGATGAGCTTCGCCGGTGCCTCTGACATCATGGCCAACGCAGGAGGATCGGACATCTTGGGGCCGGTAGGAAGCTCTGGCACACTGTCTTCCACAAGTGGCTCTGCGAGTTGGCTTTTGATTGGGCATTCTTCAAGCTGAAAAGTAGCCTTTGCCGTGTCAATATAGTCCATTTTAGTGTGCCGTGCCAGGTAGGTACTCACCTTGATGCATTTTCCCAACACCCGGTATGCTGCGCACTGGGTCAGTTCATAGGCTTTTTGCAGCACAAGTCGCTGGACAAAATCCAAGACTATAGACATTTTGGAGGGACAAATTTTGGCTATTTCGGTGAAAAAATTTTAACAGCAACTGACTGACAAATTAGGCAAAGCAATCTGACTTTCCTTTTCTAATTTTGTATTTGTTTAAGGCTTCCACTGCTGGCTCTACACTTTTCTCTTACAAACTAAATAAATATGTTAAAAGTTTATGTACATAAAGCTTTCTGTAACTTGTACGAGTCTACGCTACGTATGATGCGGGGTTTGGGTTCTGTTTGGACTGAGTTCGTAGAATTCGTTCACAGGGGTGGTGGTGGTCTCTTCGTCTTCATCTTTGATGGACTTGAGATCGCGTCCTATGCTCTCCAATTGCAAATGTAAGCCTGCGGCAGCCAGATTGCTGTTCAACTCGTTTAGCTTTGGCTGGCGGAGACAGTTCTCGTTGTCGGCCACTTCCCGTTTGATTCTGGCCAGAGGCTGATCTGTCGGCTCGCTGGGCGACCTCAGATTCAGCAGCTCGCGGCGTATGGCCTCCACATTATCATCGATGTTGGGCTTGTGGAGCACAGAGTCGTTGGCTGAGGTATTGGTTCTCTTTGGCTGAGTCGCATTCAGCAGCAGGGCGGCCAGTGGAATAGGTAATCGTTTAAAAAGAGCTGCTGTGTCGACGCTGGTGTTCTTGAGCAGTTCCCCCGTCTTGTCGCGCAGATGAGTATTTTCCGTGAGAACTTCGATTAACGAAGCCTTAGGCTTGGGTTCCCTGGTAATAATTTCATCTTTCTTTGATTCCCTAATGGTCTTATCGTCATCCGGCACTTTCTCCATATCAGGGGATTGCTGGCCAAGAGGCTTCTGTTTGGCCAGCTCTTCATTCAGCTCATCAACGGTTTGTTCCAGCAACTTCTTAGTCTCTTTCAGTTCATTCTGCGTCTTGAGCAGTTCGTCGGCGTTTGCTTTGCTTTCCTTTTGCTCCTCTGCCGCAACATCCTCCTCCTTCTTGATGGCGGCTCCGTCTATCGTATTACTCGCTGACAATTTTGTCGGCTCCTTATTGGTCGCTAGCGCTGGGTGACTTTCAACGACAATAGGATTTTCCTTGAGCTTTACAGCTGTCAAGTTTTTGGGAATACTAATATCCGGCTTTGGGTCGGGTGGGCTCAATACTTCTTCTTCCGGAAACTTTTTAGAATCAGTCAAGACTTCTTCATTTTCGTGAACTACGTGGGCCTCATCAATGGGCAGTGGGGGCATCGGTGGGTTGTCTGAGGAAGCGCTAAGGACTGCTTTTGGCTTCTCGATTATCTTCTCTCCAATGGTGTCCCTTATTGGATCCGATTTCTGAGCTTCCAGTTTTTCCAACAACAAGCTCTTCTCATTTTCGTTTGGATTCTTGGCCAAATGCTTTGGTAACTCGTCAACAGCCAGCGGCGCTAGGGGCGTCACCATTTGAACGACATTAAGCTCTGGGCCGGAGCTTTTCTCATCAATGGCATTCAAATTGGCATAGGTGCCCAATATCATCAGGAGGAATCCGCTTACAAAAATAAATTGTGCCAGTGTGCGTTCCATCGACTCCTTTTTGATGATTTTGCGGAAACTAGAAGCGGGAAACATAATGCATATGGCCACGCCAATGGTGGAGCCGACCAAGCCAATGATCAGCTCAACGGACGGTATAACCAGCGCCACGCAGAGCGAGAACACAACGATAAAGATCGTAATGAGGCGAAATCGTTGTTCCGGTATGTAACTGCTGCTCTCCGTATGACCCTGCAAGCACAATAATGATAAATGATTGGTCTGCTTTAGCAAATATAGCCTTACTTTTCGATAGAGCAACGAGTAGATGCTGGCCCTGCACGGAAATATGACCAAGGGAAAGCTGAAAGCAATAGACAGCACAAAGCCAATTTTGATAATGTCGCTGCCAAAGGAGGGTGACAAGTTTACCAAGATGTTACCTGCATATAGAACGAGAATAAGTCGAGATATTTACTCAAAAGTCGTTATGTCTTACCCGAAAAGGTGTGAGTGCAGAAGGCCACATAGCCAAAGAAGCCGACAGCAATGTAAACAAGCGTACAGATCCAAGTGGCGTTGCGGACGACGCCGTTTAGCTTATCAAGACTCTGGTTATTGATACTCTCGAAGACCTCAAAAAGCTGCCTTCAGGTTGAACAAATATTTAACGATATTCATACACAAATATTGAACAATAAACATACATTTGGCAGGATAGCGCCATGCTGAATATAGGCAGGCATTGTAGAACGCCAGCCGGCTCCCAGTAGACAACTTTCTGAGTCCAGTCATTCGCCGATATGTGGCTCTCCGCTTCGAGCACGATCTTCAGCATAAGGCAGACGTAGAAGCCAATGGAAGCGGTGCACACGGCCGACAAGCTATCCACGTTCCGCAGCATGCCCAGTGGGACAATGCAGACCACGGTCACCACTATCATGACCAGAGATCGCAGGTGCATGTGGTCCGCCACATTCAGAGTGAACAGCTTGGCAATTATCTGTGGGCCGAGATCTCCGACCACAACGAAATATGTGATGCACGTCCCAATTAGATACCCGATGATACACAGCTCGACCAGCAATTTGCCGGAAGCGCCAAAAGCGTGAAGGCCGAGCAGCTCGAAACTCTTGCGACGTGTCAGAAGTGAGGTTTTTATCAAATAGTGGCAGCAAACACGGGTTATGACGTTACTCAGCACCAGGAGAATGATGGAGAGCACGATGCCGCACTTCTGGAAACAGAAAGGCATCGCTAAGATCCCAACACCAATGATGCTGTTGGCCAGCGTCATGACGTGAGCCGAGTGTGATAACATTTTATGGAGCTGAGCCGTTAACTTTAGCCGGAGGCGCGTCACTTTCCCCTTGATGATGAGGCAACCGAGCCAAGCTGAGATGTTGGCCTATTTCTAGAACTGGTTTTGCTGGCGGCTTGACTTCGCAGCTCTGACTGCGTATGCAAAAAAAGAGCAATCGTCAGATAGTTAGATACACCCACACATCGCGTGGATGTATGAAGGTGGGTTGTATTGATAAGCACCTACTTGTGGCAATCAGATAACAGTGCTGGCGTCGTACCAAGTAATAGATATAAGTTAATTAAATGCACTTGTGTAAGCAAAACTATAAGCAAAATAATCCCGCGGAGAGGTCGCGACGGCGGCGGCGACGATGGTAGAGGCGGAGGTGCTTACATTGAGCAAGTGCGTGTTGTTCACCAAACATTGGTTATTAATACACAGATGGTCATAGCAGCGAAAGGCTAGTCGCGGTTTTGAGCATTTTTACGGCCGCTTCACAGTTTTAAAACCTATTTTTGGTAACGTCATCATTGTTTTTGTTTATAGGGATGAGCGATTTTTACAATAGTTAGTTTAGTAACAGAACGATATGTACTTAAAAGCGCACAGCGCTTAACAGCACAGCTAGTGGAATGCCGGTGGCAGCACTGCTTTACATGTATATACAGGTATGGAAGTTCTAACTAGCTAGTAATATCAAATCGCTTCAAATCCATGACGGAGAAAGATTAGACCTTAAAATAAATAAATAAAATAAAGCACATATTAGTTCTTCTTATCGCACAAAAACACCGATATTTTTTCTGTAACCAACACTGTGTATCGATGAAACTAGCGAATATAATAAATATAATATAATATAATAAAACTGTGTAAATATACCTCCACATTCAGCATAAAAGTTCCGTTGATTATTTATCCCAAAAGAATATCCATATTCTAGTAAACTCTTCGCCAGCCAAAAAAAATATCCCCCAATATATAATAAACAACAAATATATCGATATATTCATGCAATATATTTCTCATCCCTAGTTCCCTCTTTCCGTTCACGTCACTTTCAACGTCAAGATGGCCGATGTAATATTTTGCAGAAAAATCCAAATAAATATTAGGCATCCGTGGACGAATTGACTTAAATTGTGTGCTATACGTTCACTGCAATATTCCGCGCACGGGTGCTAATATTATTTTGGCGTTTTTCGGCTTAGTTTTGCCACAAAACGGAACCGAACTAACTGTTGTGTTTATTCTCTCGTTCATTCTACCAAATAGCAAGTCGATGACACTCTTAAGAAGAAGCGTACCTTCAAGAAGTTCACCTACCGCGGTGTGGACTTGGACCAACTGTTGGACATGCCCAAGTGAGTATTCCACTGCAAATGGATGTGCGGCTACTAAAGTTCATTTTCGTTTCGTGTGCAGCAACCAGCTGGTGGAGCTGATGCACAGCCGTGCCCGCAGGCGTTTCTCCCGCGGTCTGAAGCGCAAGCCAATGGCTCTGATCAAGAAGCTGCGCAAGGCCAAGAAGGAGGCGCCCCCAAATGAGAAGCCCGAGATCGTCAAGACCCACTTGAGGAACATGATCATTGTCCCCGAGATGACCGGCTCTATCATTGGCGTGTACAACGGCAAGGACTTCGGCCAGGTAAGCCGGTGTCAACTGACTAGGTGTTACCAGATTGACTAATATGGTATTGTATTTTATGTTCACAGGTTGAGGTTAAGCCTGAGATGATCGGCCACTATTTGGGCGAATTCGCGCTGACCTACAAGCCCGTCAAGCACGGTAGACCCGGTATTGGTGCCACCCACAGCTCCCGTTTTATTCCTCTCAAGTAAGCACTGCCAGTGTTGGTTTGGCTGCTTTCTTTTGGATTTTCATGCGAAATAAAGGAAACGTACTTCTATAAGAACTCTGTTGCGTTTCTATGCAGCCGGGCCGGTGAATCCAGAAAGTAAACGAGAACAAGAAACGTTAAGAAATGTACATTATCTATTTATTGGAACTTGTTAATCAGTTGCTATATGCATGCACAGAGTGATATACCGCCACACTAGGCTGGATCACAGCTATCTGCGCAGCCGCCGGGCGATGTTGTTGCTGCTGCTGCTGGTGACCGCAGCGCGGTCGTACGCCGTGTCTTTCATGTGGGAATCGTCCAGTTGCTGATGCTGAGGATTCCTAGGGCTCCTGCTCATCTCACTAACGTCGGCCGATCCGTAGGCACTGTCTTTAACTTGAAAGGCATATGGAACATTAGATAACTTTGGATGGAAACTGCACAGCTCTGAAAGTTCGGCAAGGATGATTGGAGGCGATTAGTAAGGCCAGTGGGAGTCATCGTCTAAAGAAGGAACTGTCATTGGGGGCATAGGCGGTTGTCTGGAAATGCTGGGTCAGCTGCTGCAGGCTACTGCTCTGGTTATTGCTGCCGAAAGCGGGGTAAGCAGCGGTGGCGATGGAGGATTTAAGAATGCTCCTGGTCGAGCTGCGGGTGCCTACGGCGATGGAGTTCTTGGCAGCGGGGGTTGGACGACTGTTATTCGCTGGATTGGCCTGAGACGCGTTCACATCGAATGTGGTTAGCAGGAGGCCGCTGCTCTGCGTGCGATTTAGGAAGCCATCGCTGCGCGGTATTCTCGGATCAGCCTCACCTAGTCGATTCAGCTCCGTCTCCATGGAGGTGTACATGGTCAGGTTGCTGGCTAGCAGATCCTGCCTGGAGCCCAGTGTCATCAGGCTGTCTGCATTGTTCAGAGTGGAGGCCGTGCTATAGTTGGAGGGACTGGCGGACTTGGAATATTGCATGGCCACTTGGCCCATTTCGCTGGGACCCTGCTGCAGGGCCCCCGTGCGTGGATCGAAGTGTTTCTGTGTGGCGTCTTTCAAGGTGCTCTTGACCTCCTTGGGGATCTGTTCCTGCGTCTGTTTGCGCAGCGAGGATATGTGGCCGGGCAGCGGCTCGCGTGAAACGGATGATGAGGGAGATGCGGAGTTTGTCTCCTCGTTCTCCTCCTGGAATGAGAGATATTAAAATAGACTATATATGGTATCGCATGGTATGAGAAGTATTGTGCCTCCTCACCTCATCCTCCTCTGTGATGATGGACGACTCTATCCAGTCTTTGATGCGATTCTTCTTCTGCTGGCGATCGACATTCGTCTCGATCCCGCAGTCGGCCAATGTGTAGAGAAGTCGATTCTTCTCATCGGGGCTGCTGTGAAAAGAGTACATGGATGGGCACAGCTCATCCGTCTCATACTCGGCCATATCCTTCTTTGCCGACTTGGCCAGCCAGCGATCGTCGAGGAACTTTGTTACATCGGCCAGACTCTTGGGGCGGTTCGACATTCGCGCGAAGAACCGCTTAAACATGCGCTGGGCATTGGAGGTGAGCAGCTTGAAGAGTCGAGGCGTGCGCCGCAGCGGCATCATCATGAGGCCCCCCTGCCAGGCCAAGTACCGCACATAGCGGGGATCATCCGAGGCTGCCTTCTGCCAGGGCAGGCACCCGGTCAAGCAGACAAAGATCACGATTCCAAACTGCCAAACATCATGGCTAGGATCGGCTCTGAAAGTGAGAGAAGTCTCAGCTAAGAGGGATGGATCTTGGGAGTCTCTACACCATACTTACTTGTAGCTGCCTTCGGGCTTTATTTCTAATACTTCAGGGGGACTGTAGGGCAGCCACTCGTTCCGCCGCTCCACGCTGGCGCCCGTCGGGAAGGACTCTCCGAAATCACACAACTTTATGCGCTGAAAGTCCGCGCGGTAGATGAGCACATTATCCAACTTGATGTCCCGATGCACAATGTCTCTACGAAGAAAAGTAATTTCAGTATCAGATAGCTCATCGGTGGAATAGGGCGACACTCACTTTGAATGCATGTAGTCTATGGCGGAGGCCAACTGCTTGGCCACGCGCTTGCTGTACACCTCGCCCACGCCCGTATCCGTCACATTCGATGTGAGATCCCCTAAAAGTAGAGCATATATGTTCATATGGGAACTTCACTTTGATAATTAGTTGGCTCATACCTAGAGGCGCATATTCCTGGGTGAATACATAGAAACCGGCCGTCTCAAATGCCACATCGTAGGTGGTCACAATATGCCGATGCACACCCAAATGGAGTCCGTAGTGAAACTCCCGATAGAAGTCGCGCAGCGTCACATATGGTTTGGGTACCGCCTTGAGTACCATTTCTGTCTGGGATCCGCGGTGCTCCACCAGTAGTATCTTGCCGAACCATCCTTCACCCACAATTTGTATTATATCGAACTCGTCCACAAGCTGGATCTATACATAGAAATCGAATTAAAATAGCTATAATTTATATATATATATATTTAATTCAGAGAATAGTTATGTTGATATAACGTGCGGATACATCGGAAATCGATTTGGAATGGAAAGTTTTGGTCTATTGCTGAACTTTTGGCCAGACGTTCCAGTGCCTCCATTCTTCTGGGAATTACTATAGGAATCTGGCTTCTATCAACATGTGTCTTCTCTGAAAAGCAACTGAGTCACAAAGGAAAACATCTCCATGTAAATTCTCAGTTTAGACCAACCTCAACTACGAATACATCTGCGAAACTATATTTATAAGTGTATCTGCCCATACCTAGACCCATTAAACATTACTGTATTCGCGACCGAGACGATGCCATGCGATGCATATTGCTGTTTGTGTTTAATGATCAGAAATCTAATCGTTAACATGGCATTTTCCCTGTTGTGTTGTAGACGATTTCCCGGGGAAGAGATTATTGGCAATTGGCCAATCATAACGATCAACGCCGAACTGGGCCAGGTCGAACTCTTAATACCTTTCTATATCTATTTGTTTATTTGGGTAGATATCACAGTATAATAATGGCTAATAAGATGTTCGTAAATCACACAGATAAACATATGAAAATATAATTGCTAGAACATTCAACATTCATTGATGGATGATGGATGGTGGATACTTGGGCTTACCTTCTCCAACTCGAACTCCCGGATCTTATGAATGTTTCCGCGTGGCTTCTTTGACATTTTGTCTGTTTACATAGGATGTTTGGGGTTGAAAAAATTGTCTCGATCCAAATTGTCTCACTTCACATCACTTCACTTGCTGCTTGGATTATCCCTGATTCAATTTGAATTCTAGCGGTTCGGAGCTTTATCCACGAAAAGACAACAAAAGCGGTCCGTGCACGCATATATTTATGTACATATGTGTATCTAAAGGGGTACGTACTCTTATGTATTTACATTTTGTAAATATTTATAGCGACAGCCGCAGAAACAGCGCCAAAGGAAAACATTTCTATATCTGTTGGATTCCTCCTTTATACGCGCTAGTAGTACTCGTATCCGTATTTATGTGCGTTGTCCGCCGCTTCTGTCTACAGCCAAAGTTAATTACGAGATGAATTGTTCAGTTTGCTGCGTTTTACTTCCTGGTCTGGTAGGGCCTGACCAGCACTTTGTAAACGTTTCGTGAATGGACTTTCGGGAAGGGGACGGACTGCTGCTGCAATTGTGGTAGTGGAAATTCACCAAACAATAATCTCCGACACGACACACTATGAATGTAGTAGATACATACATATGTATAAGTATATGTATCTATCTAGATATGTATCCGCACACAATACGGAATTTCAGATCTCTCGCCCCGACAAGATTTTAGAACCAGGCCGCCTTCTGTTCTCCTCCCAGCGATCTCTACAGTCAGTCACTCGATCACTCACTCACTCTCCCGGCTTCGGTGTTCCGTTTTGATGTTTGCTTTCTCTTTGATTTTCCGCTTTATGCATAATATCAACAGCTAAATTAAAAATAATGCTCGCCTCTCCCTCTTATATAAAAACCTTTGCGAAAGTATATGAATTTTCAGCCCAAAAGAATTCGGGTCAAATGTAACAAACGCAGCGAGCTCTATCTACACGCGACTCTAAACGGAATGCCACTTGGGGTCGCCTCGAAAGTGTTAACTTTGGAGTCCATATGCACCCAGATAGGACCGTATGTATGTATATTTAATGTTGCACTGTTGTCCCCGCGTATGCTTCTGCATCCGACATAGACGATAGTCCGTTGCCAACTGCTCTCCGAAATGAATTCAATTTAAAATAAGATATTCTGAGCACTGTACACGAGCGTTTTCGAAACACATATATGTAGGAATCCAAATGTTTTCGAAATACATATGTTTGAGAGGCAGACACGGAGCGAACAAGAGAATGTGAGAGCTCGTTTAATGCCGTTGCACAAGAAGAAAGTTTTAACAGGGGCAGGCGCTGTTCAAAGTAACAGTAATTTGATAGACATGTTCAGAAAATATATCTTGTGGTGTTTCCTTTATACGATGAATCCCGTAAAGTACTACTTAAAGTAAACAAACACACAATTTTTGACTGAAATTGGAGCAACAAATAACTGAAAAGGAATTCTTAGAAGGAGAGTTAAAGGATTTATTTTAATTTATGGCCGTAAACTCACATATAATGTGCTATATCGTCTCTCCAAAGTGTCCACTCAGGCGCACCTTGTGAAGGGGGCAGAATAATTAACATAAATAAAAGATGTTTAGTATATGTATGTATGTATATTTAAATGTTACTTGTAATTTAATGTGATTCTAGAATATGTATTCTAGCCTCCTCGCCTAACATGCCGCTGTTGAGAGCTAACAGAGGAGCATCCTCGCTTAACAGACAGCACGAAACGAATTCACGCTCCCATACACAAATCGCAGAACAATACAGTGGAGGCGCTATGTACACACACACACGCATGTATCCGTGCACAGCCGTAGGGCGTAGTGGTATGCGTAAGGCAACTCTAATTGGTCACTTCCGTTCCGGTTCCGACAACGTTTCCTTGGCGCATGCGACATTCGTTCGCTTTTCAACTTCTCCAGCGCTTTTGCTGCGCTTGACACACACACACACACTCGAAGCTGTCCCACTGCTGTGTATGTGTGTGTGTTGTGTGTTTGAGAAGAGGGCACGGAGAATGCAGCAGCAGCAACACCACCAACACCACCAGCCAACGGTTAACCACTTGTCGCGCGGGCCCTATAAAAGCAGCTGCTGGCCAGCAGCCTCTTGCACACATTCGAATGTCACCGAAAGCGCCACAACTCCGGACAACTTCTGGTCGCGACTCGCTTTGAATTTTCCAACAGCCCTCAATCGCACCCGTTCCATGGACATCTAAGAAGAATTCCCAGCCAGAACTATCCCAGCCAATGAATGTGAAGTGAATTTTTGAGTTTGAGCTTGTGGCATTATCTGTGGAGCTTCTTGAACAGTATTTCCGATATTTTTTAAAGTTATCACGGATTCCTCTACCATGGATTGGTGCAGCTGTACGATTTGAGTGTGATAAATATAGGGTAAGTGTTAAACAATTTACTATACTGAAGTTTGTGGAATAAATTCGTGGTTTTTCCGATGTAAGAATTTTAAGAAGTGCATTCATTCAACGTTTCATTATCAGTACAATTTGAATTGGAATCGTATTAAGTTGAGCTCTTGAATAACTAGAATAACTGGAAATGAACTGAATAAATTATTGCAACTCTATCCGATTGTGGGATTACATACCACAGCTGCAAATCTGCTTACAACATGCTTCAGATGTGTGTAACGGCCTCAACTAAAGCTAAGAATCAGAACTAATTGTTGTTTCCCTTTAATAAAAAAGATTGCCAGCAGTGGCCACTGGGTACGCATGCAGCCTTCCGCTTAATTTGATCAAAAGTCTGACCAATTAAAGCCGGTGGGGAGGAACCAAGTGGATCGGCTTAATTGTTTGAACTGTCTGTGGTTTTATTGCATCTGATGCCAGCTTCCGAGAGTGTGACCCGCACAGGCACACGCTCTCTGTGCGAGATTTGCGGCTCTGGTGCTGCGGCTGGTCAAGTGTTTGTTTGGGCATGCCACCTGTCGTATACGTAATACGAGTATGAGTAGTCCAACGAGTTTGAGCTCTTCAAGGGCTAGGTGAGAGCACATGTCGTTGGCAAACAGGTTTCGAGTGGTGCGGACACCCACTCATGCGGACACGCAAACAAATATCCAAATATCCAAACCATGCATTCCTGAAGAGCAGATGAAGATGAGAGCCAGAGTTCGGCTCAAAGAGGAGTAATATTTTTGGGCTATGTTTTGCAGGATTCGCAGTGCGGCGGCGGGAACTACAGCGTCGTCGACATCGAGACGTTTTGGGTCAAGGACACGACGGGATATATAGTTGCAGATGTCACCAACGGGACATGTATCGAAGACGCCCACGCCACACGATAACGATAACAATAGCATCAGCGACGAGCGCGAGGAATGGAGCGGCAAGGTGGATTTTTTATTATCGGTTATTGGATTCGCCGTCGATTTAGCAAACGTCTGGAGATTTCCCTATTTGTGCTACAAAAATGGAGGTGGTAAGTATCTATTCTATCCATTTATTCCATCATTTTCTCAGATCTCCTTTGGCTATAGATCATATCTGCACTTCTGGCCTTCTGACCTTCTGGCCGAGGCCAATTAGGGAATAAAGACATTGCGTGAATTGCTCATGCTGAGTGAAAATAATTTATATGGCTTTACACATCATTGAGCGCCCCACGGAACCCAACACTTTCCGCTGCCACTCCCACTCCCACTCCCACTCCCACTCCCATCGCCATTTCTGCCCCCCTCTGGCCTTGTTAACACTTTGTCAAAGTGGTGCGAAGTGCTGTCAGAGTGGGCTGTGGCATGGGGATGTGGTAGCGTATAAGAGCGCACTTCCTTTGTCAAATTGCATGGAGGGGGATTGTGGTAAAGGACTTATACACATTCAGTTCCTTTTGCCTGATCCTCGTCGTCAACACCATCATTCAAAACAATTCCAAAAGTTAAGTGCTTTTGTATGACAACTAAATCTGGCAGTCATAATCGCATTTGGCCTCCTTACCCTCTCTCAGTCATATTCGTACATTCGCGCACTGCCCTCCGCCTCTCCATATCCAGGCAATATGTCAGTCGTCCCCTCATATGTGGAGTGCTATGCTCTCTAGGCTTTTGTTGTTGGGGCACTCACACGCACCGCATTGTAGGAAATTCATGTGCGAAACATGTCTCCATCTCCACTTTCCTTTCCTCTGATTGCGGCACTTTCCCGTTGATGCGATAAGAATGGATGGGCTTTCGTCCCTTTTCATATAGTTATTACTATTTTATGAATTTTTTTCTGGGGTGTCCCCATCGTGCTTCCTTTAAAATCATAATAATAAATTGTTATATTTATACGCTTCATTGCGTTCAATCAGTGGCAGCTTTCACTTAAGACCCGTTTAATGTCCCTTGCCTCATGGTCGTTGCCACAGCCACCGACTCGCTCAGGTTGCGATTATTACCACAGCTTAGTGAGTATTATTTATTCCCTTTCCATTCTCGTACTTGCAATCCCAATAAAGCTGCAGCGACTGTGGCAGCAACAGGCTGTGCCAGCTTCCGTGTACTCGTAAATGATTTTCCTGGGGAATTTCAAGGGGCCAGCAGTGGCTTAGGAATGCTCAGCCTTTTGCAACTGTGGATGAAAACTCTAAAAATTTCTGTTACATTTTTAATAGTGGCAATCCATAAGTAGAATAAAATAGAACATAGAATATTCAACAATTTTCCATAAATCCTCTTCTTTGGGGTACGGAAAATGTAATCCAATATATTCGATACATATGTATAAAATCCGTACAATTTTGATAGTTAGGATAAATAAATAACGATTTTTCTCATCAAACTTGTTCAAAATTTGTGGTAGTCATGGTGAAAGGTTTAGGCCATATAAAATGTCCATCATTTTATGAAGAAATTGAAAAACTTGCCAAAAATGTAACCCGAAAAGTTTGATAAACTTTAAATTGTACTCAAAACCTGACCAGCAGGTCTTGCCCCATGGAAATCTATTCAGCTTCGATTAGGATATGGGCTCGGAATCGAATTAGGGGCACTACACATACTCGTACCTACGAGTATTTCTGCCAGTGTCCTTGTCGAGCTGTTGGAAATGGGGAAATGCACTTGAAGCGGCGGAAATTATGGCTTCAACAACAGAGCATTGGCCCGTCACAGATGCCTTGCCTTTATTTTATAACTTTTTTTGTTCTACATAGTTGACACGACGGAAGTTAGGGTCGATGCTGGCACCGGGCCTTAGCAGAGACACCCACCCGCCCATATATATGTATGTATATATCAATATTTCAGTATGTACGTATATATATCAGCATAGATGTATATAATAACCGTAGACGACGTTGTCGGCCACTTTGCCTGCTAATAGACATAATCAAATCATAAAGACATCATCCCCTGTCACTCGACAAAGTATCGATGGCACTCTACCAATTGTCAGGGCCCTGCGATGGGGCAGGGTCTGGGGGTTGGGTGATAGGGCGATGGGGCGATGTGGAGAGTCAATGGGGTTGCCGGAGGTGACGGAGATGGCTGCACGAGACAGCCAAGCCGTGCTATTCTCCTCCCACTGCCCCGGATGCTGTTAATGTTTTTAAAATGTCCTTAGAGTGGCACTTGTAAAACAATTTGATTTTGTGTATGAACGAACACCCACCCATAAAAGCATGGGTCCATGGAAATACAAGTGTGTGTGTAGCGCAGCAGAAGGGCGAACAATGGAGAGGCTGTGACACGGGTCAGTCTCTATATGTGCGGGTTATGCAATCATTATCATAAAAAACGTTGTCACATCAAAGTTGCAAGTGCCGGAGAGGGAGAGGGGTCGAGTGTTACCACATTTGGGGAGCTTTCGATGATGGGACACCCACCTGTCAGCCGAACCAGTTTTGATACCGCGTCAAACTCATTTTCTGGTATTTCTTGGGCAGCGATGATTAAGACTTGGACTTTAACATTTCCTATTCAGTATTTGAAAGCTCGAACTATCTCTTTTCAGGCGCTTTTCTTGTGCCCTATGGCATTATGCTGGTGGTCGGAGGCATACCGCTGTTCTACATGGAGCTGGCACTTGGCCAGCACATCCGTAAGGGGGCCATCACCTGCTGGGGTCGCGTAGTCCC